AAATATAGTTGCAACAATTGACTTCAAAACTTGACTGACTAAATATTTTAGCTGCACTACCTGAACTTCCCTAACTCAAATGCTGGCTACATAATGTGTCAACCTCTCACTACAACTGTCTGTTTAGAAGTGTTTACAGAGATCTCTCACTGTAACTCTATCTACAGTTTCATTCAATGTACTGTTTAGTTATCCTATCTAGAAACCATAATAAAACCATAATCCTCGCAAAAGAAATACTTATTTTTTGTTTCGCTGATTCCATAACTCAATTCCTCCCTTTCAAACATCACACACAGCTTACCTGTAGTACATTCACTCTAGAGAAAGAAAGCACAACATTGCCTTTCCCCTCTTCTGTAAAGAAATAGGACATATTTCCAACAATCATTATGTGACCAAAGTATTTTCCCTCTAATCCACTTCATCGGGAACACAAAAATTGTATTTATTGTAGAATATTATGTCGCTCATATGTTGCAATTGTTTAAAAAGTTTTTGAAATGTCTATCAATGGCTTGTTTTTTTGTGCAATACAAGAATAATTATCTTGATTGTGTTTGACCTACATTTTAAGCATATTTAACAGTGAAAGACAAATGTATAGAATTGTAGGTAAATCAGGGTCAAACTTTGTATGCTTTTTGCAAATTCATATTATTGGGAACACATTACAATAATTAGATGTTTCCTTTCATGGATTTAGAACTCAAAGGAACATTCCTGGCCATGGATATTACAATTATTCAAAAAATAAATTTTTAGACTTGAATTCCGTTTGTTTTGTCAATTTTATCAACATTTACACCTGACTGAAGCATAAAAACAGATGAAGTTCTTGTAGTTGTACGCTGCATGTCGCAGACAAGAATGATAAAGAGGATATGAGGGAAAACAGTTTGATCACAAATGCTGTTGAAAACATCCCATTACTATACAGAATGAAATGACAGACAATATTTACAAGTGCTCTCCTCAATAAGAAAATGTACTGTGTTCTCTGCCATAAATGCAAACAAACATTAGTCACAACCTTAAACTAGATATTAGTATTAGAGATGTGAACTCTTTCAATAAAAAATGACAATGAATAGAAGAGAGGGCCAGTTTGGATAATCAGGTGTTTGGAACTAAAAGTTTAGAGCATCACAGAGATGTCTTATTCCAACATATTTCATTGTCATTTTTAATTTTAGGGGTCTGTATGCATGGGATGTCCCGATCACGCTTTACACTAAATTCTGGAAGCAGCGGTCACGATTTATTCTTCATTCGTGCAGACGTAGACTTGGTTCAAGTTCGAATTATGCAAAATGTCAAAGCGCAAAAGTATGCAAAGCAGCGACCCGGTATTACGCTTCATTCATGCAAGCTTAACGCTTTACCCATAAATTATGCAAAGATTACATTTAATATTAAGTCACAACGACCCGATTTTGGATTACTCAAATCTAAGACGAGTGCTTACGCATTGCGGCATGCAGACCCCATTTTTGAAAGAGTAAATATAAAGGCCAACTCACGTCAAGGTCCGATGTTCTCTTGTCTCGTAGATAGGTGGCAGGTCCCTCAGGAACACAGCCAAATCCTCCTTGAATAGACCAGGAACACAGACAGGTCCCTCAGGAACGCACATAGGCAAATCCTCCTGGAATATACACACTCAGGTCCTCCAGGGATGTGGACAGGCACACAGGACAGCAGACAGGTCCCACAGCACACACAGGAACATGGTCAGGCCACACAGTCTCAGCTTCCCATCAGCTAGGGTGGAAAAGAAATAAACAATCAGAAAAATCTCATGCAAAATTTACATACACCAAGGATACACCAATGTTTAAACAATATTCACATAACATGCATGCCATCATAATATTCACAAAATTTGTTATAAAACCTGCTTTGATTGGGGGAAGAGCACATGGAAGATTGTTAACATGGCAAAACCAAAAGTGAACAATCAGAGAATATTCTGACCAAACAACAATCACACAAAAATACATCTCACACAAGATATATAAGGTATCACAATCCATTTGTTCTAAAAATGGCAATGGCAGCATGCGCAACTCGGAATCAAGACGTCACAAGTCGTCACAAACTAAAACACAAACCAACCCTACAACATCCGATGCATAACAAGGTGATCGAACAGGCAAAGCTACTTGGATTATTAATGGATCAGCAGATAACCATGGCTGAACACATTGACAAAGTTAAATCTGCTCTGGCAAGGTCTCGCGACTTCCTCACAGGCAACACGTTAAAAATGGCCACTCAAACACTTGTCCTGAATCACTTTGAATATTGTTCTTGCCTCCTATCTTCAAGTTCTTAATCCAACCTGAATGGTTTGCAGGTTCTACAAAACAAGGTGGCTAGGCTTGTGTGAATTATACTGCCTACAACACGACTTTTTTTTCACTGGGGAACATACTTAAAAATTATAAAAAGCCAGACTTTCTTCTGATCCAAAACTTTTTATCTTCAAAGAAACAAGTCTAAGGTAAACTGCTTTGTAAGTTGAAAAGCATTGTCTCACCGGTAAAATCTCTTCATTCCACCAGTCTTCAAGTCAACCAGTCTTCTCAGCCCTCATCTGGTCTGGTTTCGACAGGAGTCGCTGGTCATCACAGGTTTCTCTCAGTCAGGACAGGAACGTCGGGATAGCTAACACTCAGGACACACCTACCGATATGAAGGGATGGTTATTGTGATGCAACACTGAATGACCATTAAAGATAGACTAAGTGATAAAATTGCACAATTGGGCAGTCCCTTTCATTGAATAGATGTACAAAATTCTAGGCTCTAGAATTTAGTAGAAAGTTGTTATCTTTTGCAACATGCCTCAGAATTGTGAAATGCCTTAGAACAATATAACTTGTAAATTGAGAACCATTGTCTCACCTGTACAAACTCACTGTGTCTTCAGGTCATCTGATTTGCTGGTCTGGACTGGAGAGAAGTTGCCGTTCACCAGGTTTCTCAGAACACGAACATCTGGTCTTGTCGGGTTTAGAATCATCACAGCAGTCAACTGCATCAGTCAGCAGTCACCTAGCTACATAGACATGAAAAAGTTACATGCTTGTCTCAATTAACACTAAGAAAACTTCTACTGGTACAATTGACAATTTAGATTTCAAGTTTTCACCTGATATTCCTCTTGTGTCTTCAAATCATCTGGTCTGGTCCAATCATCTCTTGTCAGGTTCAGACAGGAGTCCCCACTACTGCATCAGTCAGCAGACACCTAACTATACAGACATTAGAAGTTACACAATTGTCTCAAATAATACTAAATAGTTGTAGGTAAAATCTAAAATTGGGATTTTTCTCACCTGATATTCCTCTTGAGTCTTCAAAATATCTGGTTTGGTCCAATCTTCTCGTCAGGTTCAGACAGGAGTCCACACTACTGCATCAGTCAGCAGCCACCTAACTATACAAACATTAGAAGTTACACACTGACTTGTCTCGAATAATATAAGATAAAAAGAAGGTTGAAAATAGAATTCAGATTTTTCTCGCCTGATATTCCTCTTGGGTCTTCAAATCATCTGTTCTGGTCCAATCCAGTGTTGTCAGGTTCAGACAGGAGTCCCCACTACTGCATCAGTCAGCAGCCACCTAACTATACAGACATTAGAAGTTACACACTCATCTCAAATTTCATAGTGGCGCACCCGAATTCGTCGGCGGGTCAGGTCGGGCTTTTCATCGGAGATTCGGCGGTAAACAAAGAAGAAGAATTCAAAATATAGTCTCAAGGCTTTGGTAATATCTAAGGAATATTTAGAAGTAGGATTCATGCGTATATCACCTGAATAAAACATAGCACTGGTCACTTAAACATGGGGCGATCTGGGAGTAATGATATCGGAGTAATAAAGTGACATGGGGCGAGATTTAGATATCGAGATTTAAAAACCTTCAAAGCGGTTTAAAATTAGGAACGGTCGCTCTCTGATACTGAACTACGTCTTTTTTTACGGAATGAAACTTGACATGTTCGCACTATTGTTGGGAAGAATATAGGAAATAATGTCAGCAAAACAAATTTGCTGGTTTACCTGCAACAAATTATAAGCGAAGTCGTCTCCATTTTACCACGTGCTCTTCCCAACTGTCTCGCCATTTTCGTCCTCTCCCAAAAAAATTCGCCAGGTCAGGAAATCCGCATTTTTCTCTTCAAAACACCACCAGAACGGCACAAATCCACGGCGAAAACTCCCAAACATTCTACTTCACACTTACTAAAACATTCTACCGACATATTTCACTATTATGTGGCTAGAAACCGAGAGAAAAACGGCAAAATATTCAGCAAATTTTTCCACTGCTTCGTACCTCGCGCCATTTCTCAAAAGAAAGTAACCTTTGACACTGAACTATACCATTGACAGAAGGGGGGAAAGAAATGTAGCTAAATGTTAATACATGTACCAAACTAATATAAGAAGCAAATATCTAAATTCTATTCGAAGACATCATGTAAAATTATTAACTTTTAGATGTTTGTGAGGTGGGTGAATCTAACCGTCAACAAAACGCCATTTTTGTTGTAACCACCCAACGTCAAATTGGCCTGTGCCAATGTCAGCTGACTTCTAGCTTCTTGTACGAAGGCCCACAACGACAATTCCATACACCCTCTACAGCCCTTCCACAGCGCGCTGCCAAGGGATATACAAATTCAATGTCATCAGGTTATATAACAATATAAATCAGTTGAATTTAAAGCTCCTTGCCCTAACCACACTATACCAAGCCGCCGTGTGTTAGAATTCTTACAGATAACAATTTAAAATAGCTTTTATAAAATCAAAAATTCTATATTAAAAATTCTATATATTCAAATATTCTAACCATAAAGTTGATCAGGATGGGAAAAGCAAGCACTAGAAAAAAAATCTTTTTCTTGTAAATAAAATTTTCAACATAGTATACTAGTACTAGTATTCTTCTAGTTAAAAAGCCTGAAAGAGCAAAACTAAGGGCTCG